ATTATCAAAAAGCTGCAGACATGAATAATGCCACTGCCATGAATAACCTTGGAAATTGTTATGAAAAAGGTATTGGAATCGAAAAGAATGAACATAATGCATTCACTTATTATCAAAAAGCTGCAGACATGAATAATGCCACTGCCATGAATAACCTTGGAAATTGTTATGAAAAAGGTATTGGAGTCGAAAAGAATGAACATAAGGCATTCACTTATTATCAAAAAGCTGCTGATATGAATGATGCTGCTGCCATGTGTAATCTTGGATATTGTTATGAAAAAGGAATTGGGGTTGAAAAGGATAAAAATAAAGCGTTCAAATATTATAAAAAATATTATCGTGCAAGTTTTGTTATTGAAGTGGATGATAAAATCGATGAAGTTGATATTGAAGGATTATATATACGATCTCCACGTTATTTTCCTTGGAGTTTAGGAGAGAATCCGGGGAGTTTTATTAATATGCTTGCACCTGAAGATTTTGGAAGCTTTGATTTTTCATTCAATTGGGATGGCGATTATGCTATATATCAAATACTTCTAATAATTTTCATTATTTTATTCACTAGTTTATTCACTATTTTATTGTTAATTATTATTGTTTTACCTTTATTTATTTTGTGTGTTATTTTTTTGGCAATCATTTTTTATTTATATTATATCATTTTTAAATTTAATCAAATTCTCTTTCAATCATTCATTACCATGGCTATTGCTACTCTAACTTTTTTCATTACGATATTCTTTAGCCTAACATTCGATGCATTAAATTTAGCTTCTTATTTATTATATTTAAGTATTGTCACACAAGTTATCATATCCAAAGAACTTACTTATCTATTACTACCATTTCTTAGCTCATATGCCTTGTTAATATATGGACGATATTCTCTCAACGTTACTAACTTGAGTAGTTTGCTTGAACAACATCGAAGTTACTTATTTTTGTTGTTTATAACTATTATACTTTCTCAATTCGTAAACATTATATTTTGCACCACCCCAATAACATTGTTTATAGCATTCAAACCTTTATTCAAACCTCTTCATAGAATCGAAATTTTCGAAAAAATAGCAATTAGCTTCCCTGGTATTTTTAAACATTTTATTATTATATTTTTATCACGTGGCCTTTCTGTTTGTGAATCAAAAATGATAGAAATGTATGTAGATTTCCATCACAATGATGGGAAAATTTATTTTTGGTTTGATGATGAAAGAAGAAGAAATCCCAAATATAATCATGTATCCTTTAAACTAGATTCATTTAATTATTTAGAAAAGGTTATGGAAGAAGAAAAAAAACGCATCGAAGAAGGAGAAATTGTTAGAGAAGAATTTAAGATAAAATGCCTTAAAGAAAATTGGCATATCTTTACTGTCATGTTGGTTGTTAATTTTTATTATCAGAATTTATAAAATTTGTATTGTTTTATTTTATCGGTATATTCTTTAAATAAAATTTTATTGATTAAATAATTTATAGATATATAATACGGTATATAGTTATGTAATGTGATTTGTGCATACATCGAAACAGGGATGGTAAATGACCTAGTCATTGATCAAAATTTAAATAACATCTACAGTCGTCCTCCCATAAAATCACACAGTTGGGCACATAGTGAATTTTTTTCAAAATGTGCTAATATAGGAGTTGTGCTTATATGGAGGTCTTTTTCTTATAAATTAAATCATAATTTGGCCTAAACATAAATGTGATTACATATGGTGTGATTATATGGGAGGTGACTATATGGAGGGATGACTGTATTTATCAAATAATAACTAGTTATTTAGGTCATTAGATCATTTGCATATATGAAAATCAAAATTTTACTAAGTTAATCGATATGGACACATTTATTTCTCACCCGGAGGTGACTCTCACCTCTATAGCAAAATTTGAAAAAATACTAATATCTCAAAATTTTACTAATGTAACCTATCTTGTAACATAATAAAAATGATCCTCTCGCAATTTTACCTTAGCCTAACCTTAATTATAACCCTAATATATTAGGCTTTCTTTGGTACTTAAGGGGGTGAGCAATTCACCCGGGTGCCAAATAAATTATTTCAATCGATATTTATATCTTAAATTAATCGAAAGAGCAAATTTCATATACTCTGAAATTCCAAGTATTCCTTTTTATTGAGTCATATTTATGTTTTACGCTTATAGAAAAAATTTTAAATTTTTCGGATGACAATAAAAATATTCAAATTACTTGAAATATTCAGAATATGACATTTTGCTTTTTCAAACAAATTTACTTAAGACATAAATATCGATTAACTTAGTAAAATTTCGACTTTTATATGTCGCTATGACATTGATCATATTTCATAATCACGACTCCTACTATAATCGGGTAAATGAAAACCATTATTTATTCTAGAAAAAGTATTTTGCAAAAATCAGCATAGTGAACATCAAAAGTTGAACGCAACCAACCTTTTCATATTTCATGGTATTATGAAAACCATTTATTATTTTAAAATACAGGATTGTAGTATTTGGCTTATATTCAGTAACTCATGGATAGGAATCTGTTTTTGCTTTACATCTAAAGTAAGTATTTATGAATTCAGAACGGCAGCATATCCACCTGTCAAACAAATAAATGTTTAATACGTTTAAATAAATAATAATAGTAGACCATGATTTATTGTGTAGAACAAATAATGTGTAAAATACAGTAATTATTATTGATATTTTGCATAGAGTATAATGATATTACCTTTAGAATGATTTCATTATCGTACTGTATTACATTAATATTGATATATCTTTTAATCAACTTCGCACACTGTATCTGGCGTTTAAAATTTATAAAGGAACAGCCACTTAGTCATATTGCACAAAAGCCATGGTCATTTTATGATCTGGTGGTATTTCAACGATTATTAGACCTATGCCAATTTGTATAGCCATGTTGTAATTATCAGATTGGCAAGTGGAACGAACATTGTGTTTTACAGTTGTTTTCAAAAAGATGTGAACAACAATTTCCACATACCTATGTGGGGATCGAAGAATTGGAAATTATCATTAGTAAAAATTGAAGATCCGATTAGAGCTAGCTTTGAAAGTTTTGGAAATCTGAATTTCCGTGATATAGTTATTTGCGTCTGTTCACCCTTTTTGAAAACAGCTATAATTACGTACATTGAAAGAAAATTTTGGGAACGGATTAGTCGGATAATCAAAATTCATCAGACCGACCAAAATTTAGGGTCAGAATAGGCCAGAATATATATATATATATTCTTAAATTCACCCACAATTTTACTAATAAAGCGATAGCCTATGTACTGTTATCTTCTATAATAGTATATCATATAAGATATTAACAGTAATGTATTACAAAGCTAATAAGTCTGTTAGTTCTAACATATAAATTAATTTTATTAAAATTATATATTATATAAATAACTTATAATAAAGTAAATAAATAGAAATCTTTATTAACATTCCTTTTAACTATAGTATTCTATTTCAGTACTTCAGGATTGTTGTAAGTGGAAACAGAATTTAAGTGGATTCGATCTTATTTATATAACCCCGTTTTGGGTTGATTTTATCATATGTACACCCTAATCCTAACCCTAATTTAACTAGAAATTTCCAATAAATTCCAATCCCACTTACAATAAAATTTATATTTTACTTAAACGGAAACAGGATATTTGTTATCAAGCATCTATCATATCCGTCTCTAAAGCAGTAAATTAATTATACCGAGCTTATAAGAGGTAAGGTTTCTCTATGCTAATTTTGCTATAATATAGTTGACTAATATTATTGCCATTGCTTAATGCTGACCTAGATCCGGCCTATTCCGACTCACATTTTGATCGGTCTGATAAGTTCTGGTTGCACAATTAATCTATCCATCCTAATTTTGATATGACAACCGAGCCAAGCCGATCAAAATTGTACAACCTAGCCGAACCAATCAAAATAGTACATTATCGAATAAAAATTTCAGTTATCGTTGTTTTTTTATGTTTTTGAAATTGCAACTCGTTGATATATAAAAGTTGATAGAAAAAAATAATGCATTATTTTATAGATCTTATCCGGAACCATAAAGTTGTACCTTTTCTTATATAAATCTGGATATTCAAATGACTTGCAGCATAGTCAAACTCTTAAACTACAGTAATAATTTTTATTCGCATTATACACAATATTTCGGACTTTTATTAAATAACAACATCTATGATGCTAAAAAGATTTAAAGGGGTAGCAAACGGAATTAGGTATAAATAAAGTAGCCTAATTAATGATTTTTTTATTATAACAAAGCACTTAGGTAACTTGTGTGCCGATCGCTATCACCAAATACTTTTACGTACACACGTAGGCATTTTTGTCCAACATTTATCGAATAAGTCAATGGTCATACTACAATACAAAGCCTAGAATATATAGCAAACGGAAAGCTAATTCCATAATATATACTTTGTATTTCATTGTAATTAATAAAAATCATTCATATATAAGTTAAGGATAAAAAGGATTTATAGTATTGTAGTATTTTTTCCAAGTGCATTTCCATGGAAGAGTATTACAGTATATACGGAGTTATATCCTTGTTTAATAAACGATAATGATATATAAAGTTACAGAATTGAGTCTTGTAAAATTTCTCAAAAATATATTTATTTAGGTATTATATTGTACAGTCGACTCCTCCTAAACCGAATTTATAAAAACCAAAAATTAATAATCATAGTTTAAACGGAGCTTTAAAATTTTAAAATTTGTTATAAAGCTCAGTTTAGACTAAGTACGTTTTTAAACAACTCATTTTTTTCATTTTCTTAATAAAACTTGAGAGGTTCAGTATAGAAGGTATCGACTGTATTTACATATACTGTATGAGTGTCGATAAAAGAAAACCCGAAAATTTAAATATGACTTATATTTAAATTTTCGGGTTTTCTTTTAGCGACACTCATATATAAGAGAACAACTTGTAAAATTTTTTTTTATATTAAACCTATAGAAAATACATTTCATTATTAACAAAATGATTACGAAAAAGACATTGTGCTAGAGCAGCAGGAGTTCTAATTTATCATCAACGTTTTATCTATATGTAAGTGCGTGTTATTAATGCAAAAAGTATTAAATTTAGCAATATCTCACATATTTGTATATACAATAAACAGATAACGATAATAAATCATAATTACCCATCTAACATTAGTTAAATTCTTCCTCGCAATAATTTGCCTGAGCACCAAATGTCTCCATAGTAGTAGTGCAATTAAAGTTACTATCTGGTAATAATGTCATAAACGGCCCTGGAACCTGATCGTCTTTGGTGAAAGAATTAATAATATATATATATATATTTAATGAATGAAATGATATAGTTAGTAAATAAGAATAGATACCAGGATGAAACATGAAATAAGAAGGAATAATTCTGGTGGGTGGCAATGAATCTTGACATGTCCTTCTTGGTATCTCAAAGGCTTGATAGTCTGCTGGATAGTCTTCGATTGTGGGGATGAAGGTAAGTAAAAATAATAAAAATAATAATATAATAAGAAAAATAAAGACAAAATATATACTTGTATTATTTATCCAATCAATAGTGCCATCTTGAGGGGGATCAATCCATCTATGGTCATAATAATTCTCAGGCACTTGATTAAGTGGACTAGCAGTTATTACTTTATTTACATCTAGTTTTTGAGTTCCCGAAGAACATGATAATGCAGGTTGTATATTCGAGGGTTGAACTGCTGGACTTGTCATTCCGAAATTAACGAACGTTAAGCCTATTACATTTTGCCGTTGTTCAAAGTTAACCGTTGTTGGGTTCACCATGCCATGCTGCTGTCCTGAATTAATGACAAAGTTAACGGGCGTTTGGAACACGGTCTTTGGTTGTTCGATACCTACGAGTGCTTGACCAACTATCTCTTGGTGTTGCTCTAAATTATTGTGCATTGAGTTAGCTATGTCTTGCTGTTGTTTTGAATTAACAGGTGTTGAGCTTAGTAATGTTTGCTGTTGTTCGAAACTAACAGACGTCAAATTTGCCATTTCATGTAGTTTTTCACGGCTAACAGGCACAGGGCTCTTCCGTTGTTTGAGTTTAATGATAGGAAATACGCGAAGAAAACGCTTAATTCCAGATTTAATTTCATCAAGCGATTTTTTTCGTTCATGATTATAAGGTGAATATTGAACAAAGCGGTAATTTTTTAAATTTTTATTTTTATTTTCCATAACTAAATAAATAAAAGAGAATTTTTTTTTAAAACATGAGATAAAATTCTTCAGCTATTTATTAAGTACAAGCTTTATGTTAGGATGTCCTCATTTTAAAAATAAATTCGCAATTACCGTTTATAAGATTCTGTTTGGCATATTCATTCAATTAAAAAAAAACGCCTTATTGTGCAACAAAAATTAAAGTTCATAGAACGCGCTATTAAATTCGTTTTATATCATTTATAATTCTGTCGATCCACTCTATATTTAATTTTATAGATTCAACTTTTGCGAAAACTGATATAAGTAAAGTTTTTACGCGTGTAACCATTCATATAAATATTAATTTGATATCCATCGCGAATTTACTTTACTGAACTAATACTGGATCTATCACGTCACAGCGTCAAGTAACAGCAAAATTTGGAATTTCTATATCAGGATATAAATTTATTTTCTGTTCCGATACTTGTAAATTCAATATTTTACGCGTTTATACACCAGAAAAGATATCATGAAATTCATGTTTGAGTTAAATTATAAGAACAATTAAACTAGAAAGTCTATGAAATTTAATATATCGATGTAAAAAATGTAATGATACTTATGCTACAAAAATTCATCTCTAATGATGCTTGTATGTATAAAGTTTGGAAAAACAATTTATTTGTTACAATGTGGCGGTGGCATTTTACACAAATGTTGTGATCCATTTATAAGATTTCCAGTTTAATAAAACAAGGGTAATTATATTGAGAAATTTCCTTAATAGAACGAACGATGACAGATACAAGCCACGGCAAAAAGTTTATCCGTTACAAGGTGGCGGTGGCGTTTTACATAATGCTGTGATCCATTTATAAGATTTCCAGTTTAATAAAACAAGGGTAATTATATTGGGAAATTTCCTTAATAGAACGAACGATGACAGACACAAGCCACGGAAAAAATTTTATCCGTTACAAGGTGGCGGTGGCGTTTTACGTAATGCTGTGATCCATTTATAGGATTTCCAGTTTAATAAAACAAGTGGGTAATTGTATTAGGAAATTTCCCTAATAAAACAGTGAGAGGTACAAGCGCAAAATAATTTGATTCTAGATATTATATAGAATATTAGAATTTAATTGTGAAACTTTCTAAATCATATATTCGGTTAAGACTCCAAGAATCTCCGTCATTATCTGGTTTTAAAACTAATGTTCAGTTTATGGACCCAGAAATGATACATTAAGTTCAAGCCAGACATGTAAGTTATGACTTGCTTAATTGTGATTTCTCTTATAACAAAATAACAAAGTTGTTTGGTTGTAACGTAATTATTATCAGAATATTTGATTATTCTGATGTACGATCATAGTAAGCTATCGGATAACATGTATGGAATTTTTGACTCGTTTTTGGAGATAAAGGTAAATAAATGTACAAGAGTGAGCAAATTTTCCGGATGCATTATTTAACAATTTTTAACTCGCTTTTGGAGACAAAGGTAAATGTACAAGTGTGAGTAAATTCTCCGGATGCATTATCGAAGCAATTTAACCAATAACCTTCATTATGTGGTGTAACGTAACTTGATCGTAATGGTCAAAAAAAAAACACCATTTTGAAAATTTTTCCTGGACCAAATATCTTACTGGTTTTCATATGACTTGGAGAATCTTTTCTGCATCCTAAATCTGTCAAAGAATCGCGCTAAATTTATCTTTGGCATATTATCAAATAGGAATATCGATTTGTTTATATAAACCAATCAGACTCTAAAAAATCACGTGAGTCTACACATTTTACTTATAAATAAGACAATTAAAAATGGTTGATAATATCTGCCCGGTATCACCCTTCACATTTAATACTAAGGGGCGTCAGAACTAATGATTTACATCTGATTTCTGAAAATAAGTGACAAAGTTATTCAAAACAAATGTCTATCTTTAAATTATACTTAGTTACATAATCGCTTACCGGTAGATATTTATCAAAAGAAACTAATTTTATCACAAGCTACTAATATTTTATTTCTAATTCGGAATCTAAACCAGAAAATAAGATCTTTTGAACTCTCACTTATTTTCGGAATAAATCAATTCTGAAACTCCTTATTATCCCATTATGTCAAATGTCTATTCCCATTACAATTATAAACCATTTAGTTGTATTTAGTATACTTCCATTAAATATCACCTTATTAGGTAACTATTTACATTTCATACTAACAAGTTTGCCACAAGGACTCAATGTTCAACTTTCTAAAAAAGTACATAGTTATTATGTAATAAAATGCCAAATGTCCTGATTTATGGCCATTAAACTCAAATAATAAGATCATATTATTGCATAATTGAAAATTCGGATTCGCATTCAATTTAGGCAAGATATGTTCATCTGTACATTATGTAGTACTAATAACTTATTCATTTAATGTATCAACTTCAAGAATGAAAGAATGAATGCCCTTTAGTTCAGCCTTTTAGCTTTACCTGCATGCTTAATATCTGATAAAAAAACAATATAGTACTAAATATTTACGCCAAATAATTTTTTATGAAACTACTTAATCAGTTACCTGACCAAATAATTTTGTATGTAAAAAATTTTTGAAAATCTTCGATGAATATGCATAAATTAATTAGCCAAATATTAGTCATAATGCGAACTAAAACTAGATTAACAGGTTCTATTAAATGTCCAAAGTGAAACATTATTAATTTATTTTATATGTTGTAAATGGGAATGGAATTTAAGTGGATTTGGAATTTCTTAATAATATAATAATTTTGTGATAGAATCAATTCTATATAAACCTAAACCTAACTCTAAAATCACCTATAAAATAAAGAAGATGGGGTATTGTGGCCAACTTTCATATTATAACTAATCAAATATGATCTAGTAATTAGAATCAAATAATTTTGGCATGATTCGAGATGTCATATTAAGATTGTAAAATTATTTAATTCTATTTTCTAATCAAAAGATATAATTACTTAACGATTATATATTAAAAAAAACAAAAAAATTGGGTAGATGGGTATTGTGTCCAATATTTTGATATTGAATAACTTCTGATCCATTAGTTCGTTTTGGATTTTTTTTTTTTACCGCCAAAATTACCGGGTCAATAAGACGATTCTAACGGACACAAAATCGGTAAAATCCGATCACAGGATCCCAAGATCGGTAAAGATTTGTTTATAAAAATTCACAGATTTTTATTTAGCTTTATTAAAAAAGATAAATATCTAACTATTTCGGGTTCCCATGATCGGATTTTAATTATTTTGGACTAGTTAGAATTGTCTCGTCAAGCCGGCCATTTTGGCGGCAAAATTATCAAAAACGGACCGGCAGATCGAAAGTTATTCATCATTAAAGAACAAATATATATATTTTTAATAATAAGCTTAAACATATACGAAAATTTATATACCATTCGATTCGTCTCAATGAGACGAATCTAATGGTATAAATTTCACCCGATTCTGATCACCGTATTATGGGATATGCTGGTTGACCACAATACCCTTCGCCACCATGCCCCCAGTCCCTTATATATGTGAATAGAAATTGCCTAAATTAAATGCAATTAAGATAAGAAAATAACTAATTTTACCCGTGGGTATATACCCGGGTATAAGAAAAAAAATACAACCCTTAAAGTTAATAAGGTTAGGATTAGGGTTATAATTAAAGGTATTAAAGGTGTTTATATGCAAAATTTGGTGCTGAACAATTTTACTTAAGTTACCTACATATGGTTTCTTAATAAAATTTTGAGATATCGATGATTTTTGAATTTTTTATTATATACCCACCGGGTACAAATAGAAATCCTCTTAATATAAATTATTTAAAAAAATTTTCTAAACAAGCACTTTAAATTTACTAGATGCTTGGTTAAAAAAAAATATTATTTTAAGACACTGCACTATTTGGAATAAATTCAGTAACCCATCAATAAGGATCTTTTTGGTTACGTCAAAAATAAATATTTTTTAGATCTGACTGTCAGGAAGCAAACAAACTCCTATCAAACAAATAAAAATTCCCAAATTAATAAACAGGTATAAATCAATAAAATTTACCAAAATTAATAAACATAAATTATCCACTAGTTCTGAAGTGTATTGCTATTGCACGATATATATATTCTTAAATGAGTTTGTAATATTTCCAATCTACCATGATCATTTACAATATCCATTGGAGCATACAACACACGTCTATCTCCAAAAGCTCCACCAATATATAAGATATTTTGATCAGGCAAAATTATTGCACCAACCAAACAAAGGTAATGCTGCATTTGTTGCATTGCTTAAATTCCATGATAATATTAAACTATTAAATAGCCAAAAATCATTAAGCGAACCGTAATCACTATAGCCACCAAAAATAGTAAGCGACCCATTATTAAATTTAGCACACGAAAAAAATTTCTTACTAGAGCTTCAGATGTGAAATTAGTCCACACTTGTTTACTTATATTATATGTTACCAAAATAAAAATTAAATAATAATTAATTCCATCTCTACGAGTTATACTCCCAATATTTTTTTGGGATTATTAGTAAACTCAAGGTCAACCCCATGACATCGTTGTATTATAAATCGTGTTAAATGGTCTAAGAAATCTAAATGCAGTCAACATCCTCTAAGTGCAAGTTCTAATTAAATGCAATAAATACTATTGGCCCAATTTGGGACTTATAAAATAAGTGTACGTTCTTTATTTTGTAAGTGCAAGATTTCTTTCTGCCAGTATATATTAAATTATTTTCTCTAATTGCAAAATATATTATTAACCAATTAAATTGAATTATTTAATTACAAGTTTTCTACTTATTAAGTGGCATTTAGAGAGAATTAATTATATATTGTTAATTTTCTTTAATTGCAAATTCTGGCCCATTGCACCTAGAAGAGAGAGTTGACTGTAGAATAATTCATTCGAAACGTCAGAACCTTCATGAAATAATTCCATCCATAAAATATAATTTCCTATCAATAAGGAC